TCTGGTGCGCCCCGTCCCTTACCCGCGAGGAGGTCTCTTTCCTGTTCTCTCTCTCTCTCTCTCTCAGCTCAGTTCTTCTCCTCTCTGTCTCTCTCTCTAACTCAGGACCTCTTCAGACTGCTTCTGAAAAGAGGCGAAAAGAGTAAGCGGCCTCCAACGCAGCCCCTCCCCGGGTCCTAATGCCGCCTGGCTTTGAGGCTGCAGCTTCTCTCTCTCTCTCTCTCTCTCTCTCTCTCTCTCTGGACGGCCCCCCCTCCCAAAAAACGACTGGGACACGGCAGGTCCACGCTCCCTCTCTGGGCCTCATTTCTGCTTTTCTGTTTTCCCTGCCCAGACGGTGCCTTCTTGCTTGGTCTGTCCTGCCCTCACCATACTCCAGCAGGAGGTCGGAATGCTGCCTCATAGGGAGTACCTGTCTTTTCATAAGGAGGGGGCGCATAAAAGCTATATGGATGTGTGTGTGTGTGTGTGTGTGGCGGAATTGCTCCCTTGCTACAAGAGAGAAAACTGGCATTTGTAAAGACGACGACGACGTGACATATTTCCAGGAAGCCCATAGCTTGGGAACAAAGAGGAGGAGGCCAGGGGTCTCCAACGGGAACAGGGGAGCATTGCATTGCATTGCTCAGCTCTTCTTGCAGAAGTTAAGGGGGTAAGAAAAGGCCCTGGCCAGACCACTGTTAGCCACCATGGGTTACCTCCACTTACACACCCAGAGGCCAGGCACCTTTCTAAAACGCTGGAGGCAAACAAGAAGGGAGGCCAGGCCGTCCCTGCACCTTGGGGTAGGAGAGGCCAGACTAAACAGCCCGGTCGGCGTGGCCTCATCTGTGGCCTATGGAAGGGGGCACCGCCTGGCAGCAGCGCCGTTCACAGAAGACCTCCAGCTCATGCAAAAACCACCCACGTACCTGTCCTGATCTGCCCCTACAGCTCTATTGGGTGTTTCCGTTTTTTGAATCAACCTTTTTTTTATTTGTACAGCTGCTGTTTTGAAACATTACAGGTGCTGTTACATTTGTCTCACAAGGAGGGCTGAAAAGGATTAATAGAGCTACGTAAAATCATTAAAAAGCATTATGAAAGGGGAAATCATATCCTGAATCTTAAAAGACGAGAAAGGGCACTCATTTGTCTTTCATCACATGGGCAGTTTTCACATAAATGATCTTTTCTGGGCCGGTTTGTGAGAGGGGTGAAAGGGAGATTAGGAAATGGCACTCAGATGTGGTTCAGTTGTGGCAATTTTTTCCCCATCCACAGGCCCCTTTCCCTGCAATCAGCTGCTTATGCTGATGTTGGTGGACTCCCGGAAAAAAACAGAGCTGGTTGCAAATCGGAATCAAAGTGGACAAGTAAAACTATTCAAGTTTATGTTCCATTTAAATAAAAAAAATGGTCTGTGTGCAGAAGTTGCTGTGTGGCACCTACAGCATCCATGCCTTCAGAAAGTGACGACACACTTCAGGAATGCATGGACAAAAAGCCGCAGAGCTGGAAAAGAGCAGGCACTCCAGCAAGCCAGGCCTGGATGCAACGAGCACGGATTCCCCGCTGGTTGCTTTCCAGATTGGACCCAGATGTCATGAAGCAGCGCCCATTTTTCTTTTCACTCTTGACAGTGCATTGGGTGCAACATGAAACCGGCACACTCCCCTCCAGATCACCTGGAAGAGGTACAGGGGACTCGGGCCTGCCTCAGATCCAGAAACACAATTCACAAGCTCTTGATCACGCTGAGTGGGGGACGTCTGGGGACAGCCATAGTTGGGAAAGGATCCATCAGTCACCTGCCAAAGCTGCCACGCTGAACCAACTGACGCTCCCACGGATGTGGCTCTAGAGAGACCCAAAGCAGGCAAGGAGCATCCCCACGCTCAAGGGAGAATTGGGGCAGCTTTGTTGAACTTGGAATGATCTCTAAAGGCTGCCAAATCTTCCAGAACCTGGTGGAGAGTCAGGAGGCCCATCCCCAAAGCCAAGACGAGAATGGCCATCCCTACAGTAGGTTCACATTCTGCACCTACCATCAGCACCTCCCCTGCCTCTGCACAGGAATGGAAAGAGGCTCCCAACACCTACCAACCAGCCCCCTCTCCAACATTACAAAGAGGACAGAATTGGCCAGTTTCTTCCACACCCATAATGTGATGGTGAGAAGGCTGGAGGGCTGTAGGCCAGGAGTTTTGCTATGGCAGATTTCTGTCCCCTCTGGCTCTCCCATGGGGAGGAGAGTGCCTTTTGGCCGTCATGCAGGGGAAATGAGCAATGGGAGCGCGCACAATCCATATCCCGAAGGGTGGAGGGGAGTGGACCCCCGGCTTTCACCAGGCCTGCTGGTATCATCAGGGCCTCTGGCTTGCAGAGCTAAGAAGCCACAATGGCCAGCACGGCTTCTGGTGGAAATAATTTAAGTAGCCAGAGTTAGAGGAAAGATGCATGTCATGCAGGCTCAAGAGTCCCTGGAGTTCACACAGAGCGGGAACAGAGCCGGGCAGTGGTGTGGTTTGTGATCATCTGGAAGCAATGGAAATTTTGCTGTTGGCAAAGAGGGCTTCATGGAAGGGTGGCCAAGGGGGCTGCTGGTGGCTCAACTCTCGTTCCAGCCTCTTGAAGAGCTTCTTGGGTGACCTCTTACGCCGCAGCGCCCGTAAACTGCTGAGCAGGCCATGGTCCAAACCAGTCTGAAAGGTGGATTGTAGGGTTGATGTTTGTGTGTGTGTGAGTTTGTGTACTGGTAAGATTTGTTGTAAATCTATCTAATTAAATACCCCACCACTACCATCGCCACCCTAATGTACGTATGAATCAGAAAGGTCACCAACAAGCTCTGCCCACTACCCTGCCCTGTGGGGAAACAGACCCTAACATGCAGATGCCATAAATCAATCATGACTAACAGCAGTGGACTTATTACCCCTCCAAGAACTGTCCTAACCTTGTTTAAACCCAGCCATTTCTCAGAGGTAAATGTTGGCAAAAGTCAATTCCACATCGACCTTTCCTCTCCTGCCTGGGTCTTTCCTTAGCTGGGCCGGGCCATCCTTTACGTAGAAGCAGCTTCTACCTCTCTAACATCCTACCATTTCATGTGAATTCTGTGATGCCCCTGCCCCCATTTCAACATCCACTGATGTCCTACATACCTCCAGCACAAAGGCCAAGAAGAAGTGGAGCGTGGCCATCCCAAGCAAGATCGCCTTGAAGTTGAGGTCACTGATGTCCTTCAGTTGTAACCAGCTTTTCATGAAACTCAGTGGGTAGAGGGTGAGCCAGATCATGAGGCCAAAAAGAAGTATCAAGGCGATTAAGAACACCACTGGAAAATGAAAGATAATTGAGAAAGAGAAACCTTTTTAAATTTCCCCAGTTTCCACAATAACAAAACATACAGCAGAGAGGTGGTGAGAAGCAGCAGATCGATCAGAAACATGCCCTGCTTCTCATGCTGAAAGCGAGTCACCGTGTGTGCCTAAGCCACGTATCTTCAGGGAACAGGAATAAAAAATATGAAAAGAAAGGGCAATGGCCACAGGTGACGGCAGTTAGTCAGAAAAGAGAGGGGAGGAGCAAGAGGGAAGCCTAGGGCAGAGCCGTGGGGGAAGAAAGACTAAGCCCAGCAGGGAGTGACCAGCCCTCCAACAGGGTGTGTGCGTCTCTCTTACATACAAGCACTTCCAAATCCACCATGTCAGGATGCTCAGAAAGCCGTCTGCGCAACCCTGCAGCTGCCCCTGGACTAGATGAGTGGGGAAGAGTTGGGGGGGGGGATCTAAGGAAGAGGGGCGAGCTTACCATTTGTGTAGAGTGGCTTGCGGAAGGGGTGGCCTTTTGACATGGCCACAGCTAGGGTGAGATACTGAAATCCTGAGATGCAGAACAGTACGGTGTTTTCATAATTGGGGAGGTTGTGAGGGGCTGTCACCGTCTTGTTGAGTGGAACATACCTGGGTGTAAGAGAGAAAGGCTGAGTCAAGGCTGCGTCCCAAAGAGGCATCTGAGGGGCAGACAGCGAGGGGATCTCTCATGCCAGAAAAATGGCGGCCTGCATGGGCTGCTGAGTTAGTGGCTACAGAGGAGGCGAATGCCAGCCAGCCAGAAAGCATGCCCCTGCTTCTGCCAGCACCGCCCTAGCCTTGCCATGCCTCGTGGGCCGGCAGCTGCCACTCACCAGGACTGGGAGACGGTGATGAAGTAGCTGATGACCTGGATGGCAATGATGAGCCCCGTCTGCAGGAGAAGGCTGCCCAGGACAACCACGCTGAGGAGAGCGCCTTGTGGGCGCTGGGGGCCCAGGTGCTTCGCGGGGGCCGTCTTGCCCATCAGGGCAGCCACGGTGGTCGTGATGATCAGGTCGAAGAATAAGAACTGCAGATCGCCGAGGTTGGTGTTAATCTGGGAGGGAGGAAGACGGACAGGGAGAGGAGACTCTCATCCTTCTGAACATGGACAGACAGACAGACAGACACAACGAGAGAGAGAGAGAGGAGGAGGAAGTGGGAGTCCCAGGAACTGGAGTCTCTTGTGGAAATCAGACCCTTTCCTGGAAACTTACTTCTCATCATGTCCTTAGAAAACTATTTCTGCCATAATCTTTTACAAAATACCCTGAGTGGAGATACATATGCCGTACAAATCTATTTTCACAGCCGCAATGACCTCCGAAACCCCCAGTAACTCTAGACATTGCAACAAGCAGCAACAGAGGTAGCTTTATAAAAAAATGTTGGAAGAAAAAGATACGCTCAACTGTAAAAAAGATGTCCTGCATAATTACAGTAAGTGTGAATTTAACATTCCACCATAATGAAGAATGAAGTACTGAACTGACTGGCATCATTTCTGCTCGGAAAATCAGGCCTGCTCAGCTGTCTTGCGCTGGTGGTTTTGCCCCTTGAAACACAACACGCCTTATTTTTCCCTACCGTTTCCTCCCACCTTCTGACAGAAGATGTTCACTCTAACAGTTGCACAGGTGTCTTACTCGCTATTCTACCATCTGCCCCTGTCTGTAGCAAGAAGGAAGAATACCGGACAGCTGAGTAGAAGGCGGAGAACACGAAAGGAGGACTATGACAGGAGCTGCCCCCTGGGCCCACAAAGCTTACCGTATAGAGTAGGAGCACCGAGACAAACTGGACAAGGCTGTAGAGGGCCATGTACTTGAAAACTCCAAAAGAGGTGACCAAGGAACATCTCCCTTCCCTAGAAGGCAAAGGTCACCCGGAAGAAAACATACTTATCAGAAGTGAGGGTGGGAGTGGGAGCGGAAGAGGCATCATAGCCTCATAGGCTAGACCTTGAGCTGTTATGGAAGGAGAACGTGCCAGAGTACATCCGTTGTCGTTTTAGTTTTGTTAGGTTCTCCCATTAGACCATGAACTCAACGGAATCCTCTCCTTGCATATTAGAAAGCATTTCAATAAACAAAACAAACACATGCTTCTTGTTGTTACACGAGGTACCCAGAGATCTGCTTAAGTACCAATGAGCTTCTACACCACTGGGCCCAATGTACTGGAGAAGAAGCTGCACTCCAAGACCCCCATTCCTCCGATGCTGCTCCGATCCCTATTCCCAGCAGCAGGAGGATAACCCGGACAGGTTCCAGCTGCAACAGGCAAAGAGTCTTTCTAGGCAACAGCCCCACAGGGAAAGAGAAGGAACATCTTTATTACTTCAGAGGTTTGCAAACAAACTGTTCAATGGGCAGGTGTGGGAGAGAAAAATGCCTGCTGCTGCATTTAAAGCTGTCCTACAAAGTTACTTAATCTGCCAAAAAAAGTGTACAATGTGAATTTTTCAAAGAAACAAACTAAATTCTCGCCCACACTTTATGAACAGCGCTGGATGTTCTGAGCTTCACGGAAAACATCACCAGGCCCTCTCCCAGAGAAGCTGGGAATTTGCTGAGAATTTAACCTTGAGCTCTTTCCCAAACAGAGCAGCTCCTCTGACCTACCGTAGGATGACTGGGACACACTCAATGTTGGCTGTTTTGGAAGTGAAGGGGGATGCGACAGAGGCCTCCGCTTCGGAGAGGGAGATCCCCACATCAGCCGCTTTCAGTGCCCCACAGTCGTTGGCACCGTCTCCACACATGGCCACACAGTAGCTGCAAAAAGCAATAGCAGCATCCAGAATACAGGTTTCTTACCCCACTCTCTGCCCCTTTGGACGCCCAACGATCAGCAATGCAACCCCATTAACCCCTTCAGAGGGCAAAATCACTCCCAGGGCTCCGAAGCGGCCACCTTGAATTAACCCTGCCTAACCTCTCACAACTCCACAATGGAGTTACACCTCACTCCTAAATATTTAACAACATCAGCAACAATGTGAAAATAAATTATATGGTTGGAAAAATAAACCACTACATGGACCACACCTGAGGAAAGCATGATTCAACTTGGACATGGCTAAAACAGAGGATCATGAAAAAAGAAACCAAACGTTGGATTATTGCTGCACAAGAACAAGTGCTCCAAACAAACGGGATGAAAGCTAAGATCCAAGGAATCAGTGCTAACAGCAAATGCCAACTCTGCCAAGAAAAAGATGCGACTGTCACACCTCATCTGCGAATGTCCAAAGACGGCACAAACAGATGACAAAATTAGACATGATAGAGCCATTATGCAAAAATATATACTGTACCTCAACCTCAAACACTCACCTCAAGTCTTGCAATTTCTGAACTAAGAGTGTTTTTTGATCAGGAAGCATCCGGGCAAAAATGGTGGCCCGGACTAGTATCTGCAAATATAGAGAGAGCTGGGTCATTGTTGGTTTCATAGCCGGATGCCACAAATGACAGTGTGATATCTCAACCACAACTTTGCGGAAGCCTTTGGAGAGATGTACGATGTTCCTCCCGGGAGGCTAGGCAGGTTTAAGATGCCCAAACAGCAAAGAATAGACTTCCAGTCTACCCTACAGGTTTTGTTCTGCTGCCCAAACAGCCTCTGCCTCCAGACTGAACCATCAGGATGCTTCCCACCCCTTGCAACTGGTGTTTAAGGACATCACTGGTTTGTCCGTACAACCTGTGCCCTTGGCTGCTGTCCAGGAGGGAACTCTCGCAAAAGCAAGCAGGGGAACGATTGTCGGTTAAGTGTCTGCAGGGGGAAGGAGGGGGGAGGGAAGATGATGAGGGGCTCGATGGCGGCCTGTGAGTTTGTTCCCCAGGGCTACCTTCGGCAGGAGTTCTGGGAAGTGCTCACAAAGCACAGCGAAGGACTTTCCATTCAAGGCGAAGTGGCACCCGTTCTGCTTTGGGAAGCAGCCGCCTTCCCGCTGGTATGACTCCTGAAAAGAACCCAACCATTAACTTACGGAGGCTCCGGTCCCACAGCCTACCTTTCTACACACATCCCTGAACTTTTCTGCCACCGCTCACCGGCAGTGGGACTGTCTCCCGATGGGAGTCCCCCAAAACGAAGGAGTGGCCCTCTCTGGTCCCCAACCATTGCCCATGGAGCCATCAGGTGGTCTGGGGGGTTTGAGGTCCCTCCACTGCTGAGGCCTCAGCCTGCGGCCCGCCAAAGAGCCACACCGAAAGGCGTCTCACTCACCTCTGGCGGCTCAGCAGGGATGAACTTGAGTGCCGCCGGCTGACCCTGGCCAGGAGGGGCTGCATTGGCAAAGACCACCTGCTCCTCCACCTCCACCATCCGGCTGCTCTTGGCCACGTTCACAGCAGTGAGCATGTTGTCCCCTAACGTGGAGGAGGCAAGGAGGAAAATCACAACAACGACATCAAACATTCTGTTTCCAATTCCCTCTTTGACAAACGGACAGCTTGAGAGGACCAGGGAGTGGTTTATAAGGTCCGTACATTCTACCGAGAGAGCTCAAATTGATCATAATTATTTCCAAAATGAAAAATGACCGTTTTCAGTATGGTCGTCTGTTAATATCAATTACCCTTTTTGACAGGTTTGATGTAAACCTGAAAATAATTGTTAATCCAGTTTTGTATGAGGCAGTTGTAAAGAACTAAAATACTGTAATTATTTGTCAGGATCCATGCTAAGAATGAATGTAAAGGTAACAATTTATACAGCTGGGATGATACAAGATACTTGTATCAGCTGTGAAAGAAAGCCAAGGATTGGCTGAGCCAAGAATAAAACCAGCAAGCCTCAGCACGCTCTGGTTGTGGTGGTGGTGTTGACATGACCTCGTGGAGAAAACCTTGGAGAAGAAGACTCTGACTGCTGGACTGATTTACAAGGACTCTGAACTGATTTATGCCTAAACTCTGTTGATATTACTGTGAATGACCATTGGACTGAATGAGGACAAAACTGTATGTATGTATCCTGCAACAAACTTGATTTAATATAATTTTCTGCTATCAATACTGTCTCTTTGTTTGGTGACTTCATCAATCTGGGAAATTCTACTTCTTAGCGCCACCTGGCACGCTACAACTTTCCTTCAAAGAGATATAGAACGAGGCAGCTGGCGGAGGCTTTTCGGAGCAGAAGCCCCGTGCGGGGAGGAAGTACTGCCTCGGCACCACTTTCCAGCTCCCACCTCAAAGTCTTCCTTGATCCTGATCTGACTGAAGCAGAGGGTAGCCGAGAGGCCTCACGGCGGGACCAGACCAGAGGGATGGACTTTCACACAGCCCTCTCTCTGGCTACAGCTGGACCTGAGCATCTTCTCCACTTCCTCTCGTGAATGGAGGAAGACCCCTAACAGGCTCCCCTTCCATGATCTGCGTCTCACCAGGAGACCAAAGGTTTGCAGAAAAAGAGGCACTACCCCCCCCACCCCCACCCCCAGCAACAGGCCGGCCTGCCTCCCTTTCCTACCTGTGACCATGACTGTCCGGATCTGAGCGCTGCGCAGCAAGTGGATCACAGGAGCCGTTTCTGATTTGAGGACGTTTTTCATCACCAGAAGCCCAAGGAAGGTCATCTCACACTCCACAGAGTCCCTGTTGATTCAAGGAGAAAGCTTTGATCAGCAGCAGCAGCAGCAGGAGAAGGAGGAAGAGAAGAAGAAGATGCCTTGTAATTCAGTTACCTTGTTGCTTCCTGGGCATCTTCGAAAGTCCTGGTGGCAGCCAAGATCTTGTGGGCCAGGCCCAGAACACGGAACCCGTCACTGGTAAAACGTCGCAGGGTCGGGGAGAAATCTGCAGGGACTGCAAGGCCGAGTGTGAACCTTTAGAAAGCGAGCCACGGGCTGTTGCAAAAGATGGGGAAGAAGCCCCCATGACCAGCGTGACCTTACAGGTCCAGAAGGGAAGCAGCCCCTATGGGACCCCCGCCCCCTCTTTCCCCCGTGAGAGGGAATGGCAGGCCACCGAGGGTGCGCCCTGGCCTTCCGCAGGAAGAGCTGGGGGGGGGGTGACGCGCAGAGCCATGCCAAGGGAGGAGCCTGCTGGGAAGGAGGGGGGTGAGATGGGGGGGGGTTGAAGAAAGGGAGACATGGGGTGCTAGACCTGATGCTTGCTTGCAGAGACTGGCCACCGTCTCTGGGGCTCCTTTCATGTAGGCCTCCGTGGGGCCATCGCCTGGGGGTCTCACCAGCACGCTCATTCTTTGAAGGGAGGAGGAAAAGGCGAAGCGGCGCAGAACAGCCAGGGGTCGTGGGGAGTCCTTCGAAAGAAGAAACGGGACGGCCGTGGCCACCTGGGTCTCCAGAACGGGATTGTGGGGGGGGGGGGGGAAAGGAAGAGGACTCTGGTTCCTTCCCATCAGGTGCAAGGGGGGTGGAAGAGGCCCCTGTTCTGCCCGATGACCCAACCCTAAACCCCACCCCCATCCCATGGGCTGCTGCCCTAGACGGCCTTGTCAGGAACCCAGGCACCCCTTTTTGCTCTTCTTCTTCTTCGTGGTGTTGTTGTTGTTGTCCAGATCTTCATGCAGCACCATCTTGGGCTGCAAATGGATGGGCCAAGATCTGGAAGGCTTACCCTGCTGTGAGGCTCCTTTTCCTGCTCTGGGGGCTTCATCAAGACCTGGGCTCTTGTCCCAAAAAGCTGGGCCACTCCTGCCTCCCCTTCTGGATCTTCAATCTCCTCCTGGGTCTGAACGGAAAAGAGGGGGGAGATTAGAAGGAAACGAAGCCATCTCTCCTCCCCCCCGGCCCCCTTTCCCTCTGCCCCCCAAGTGGTGCCACAAGGGGGAGGAAGGGAGAACGTGGGGGCCTCGTATCCTGATCTGACTCTGGTAGCATCGCATCCTAAGAAGTGAGGAATGGCGCTCTGCAGAGGGAGTCTGGCCCTTTGCCACGGCATGTTGGGGAAATGGGGATGGATTGGGGGAGAGGCTTTCCTGAAGGGCCACATCGTTACCAGAGGCCAGCAGTCGCCTCCTCTTAGGAGAGAACCATTTCAATTGGACAAGATCTGAGGAGGCATCACAGATGTGGGCTCCAGAAGCCCGTACGTCTCCTTTTTCTTCACGGACAAAACAAATCCAAGGTATTCTGCTGCAATATCTGTCTCTCCGTGTGGTGCTCAAAGGGAGAGGCAACAACAAGGAGAACTTTTATACTTTTCTCCAGAGCAAAACTCTTGACAATTTCTTCTCCCGACTCCTCCTCACCCATCCAGTGGATTCCAGCATCTTGAGGTCAAGAGGGTCCCCAACAGGCTGACCCCCAAGCAGGGAGATGGAGTGGCAGGAGGCCAGGCAATGGAGGAGGGGCCCCGGTGCCAGGCCGTACGGCTCACAGACGAGGGGGAGGAAGCAGTTATTATCCTGGGGGACGACGCCCCAGACATCCAGTCCGTCCTCCGTTAGGGTCCCTGTCTGGTGGAAGACACCAATGAACTCAAAGTCCAGCCAAAGAAGCAGGTGAATAAGGCAGGCACCACCACCACCACCACCACCCCCCCCGGGTCCACATCAAAGTAGATCTGTACCTTATCAAAGCAGACCAGGTGAACTTTCCCAGAAAGGTTGATCCGGGGAGGGCTGATGCAGAAGATGCCATCCTGCTTCAGGCGTGTCTGGGCGTAGATGGCGCCAACGGTCATTGCAGCCGGCAAAGCAGGAGGCACCACCACGGTCACAATGTCCAAGGCGCGGGTGATAATCTGCCCAAGGGGAACCTGTGCACCACGAAAATACAAGGGAACCAGTTGTTGGGGCTGAACTTTGGATCCTCTGTCTGCAGCAGCAGCATCCTAAATCATGGCATCCCCTGACCTCTGAAGGGGCTGTGCTGTGCCACACCACCCCGGGGCCTTGCAGGAAGAGTTGCCTGGGACTGCAAAATCTGCAGCCATCCTTCCTGCCACCGGATGCAGGAGGAGAAGAAGAAAAAGGAAGAGAAGGAGAATAAGCTGGTTGCAGGGTCAAAGGATGCTTTAGAAACAAAGCCATTCCATTCCAAATAAGCCCTTCTGTGGGCAGCAGTGCCGGTGGAGATCTAAGCCTTGACCCTAAAGGTTTTTAGGCTGTGAAAAAAGTTTTTTAGGATCTGAAAAATTTGGCAAGGGAGCATATGAACGCTTGCCTCCTCTAAAGCAATTAGGGACCGTCTGCCTCGCTGCCAGCTGGTACTCTGCATGTGGGTCCTTGTATGCTGGCAGAGATCTGGGGGCAGAAACAGAACCAGTGGTGGGTTTGGAACCACCAAGGATCTCCTCTGTTTTGTGTTGAGAAGCATCCATCACCTGCCCATAGTGGGAGAATACCAAACCACCCACCACCCACCCACCCACCTCCTGGGTCCTCAGGAATGTTACATACCTTGTTTTTAATTAAGATGATAATGCTGTAGGTAGTACCAAGAGCAGCTGGAAGAGAGGTAAATGTAAAGCACCATGATCTCGCAAGGGAGTACAAGGACTGGAGATATGACACCAAGGAAGAAAATTGGGGGAGAGAAACAAATACACGCAACCTTGGTGGCTCTGTTAAGCTATTATTCACAGCATCACGACCTGTGTTCTGCAAAGCGACATCAGCAGCCGAGGAAGGGAGCTGCCCTGAGTCAGCCTAAGCAGCAAAGAGTCGGTCACAGAGCCAGAGGTCCTTCCTGCGGGAGAGAACCTGGGCGACCCCCCCCCCGCTTTGTGGGTGCCAATGCCAGAGTACCTTGTCCAAACACTGTCGTTCTCTCCCAGACCCACCCCAGTTGGGCTCAGTGCCCGATGCAGCTAGTTTCTGTTTTTAGTTTTAAAAACTGGATGATGTCTTACCCAAGATTGCAAGGAAGGCAACAAACTTCCCTGCATCCTTATAAAATTTAAAATGCACTGGCTTGGGGAAAAGCATAGAGCTGATGAGGTCTCCTTTAGCTGTGAAGAAGCCTGGCAAGGAAGAGAAGAACAAAAAAACTGTAACGAGACTCTCACTGAAGGAAGAGAAAACACAGGGAAGGCTGCCTAAAAGACATGCAAAGCCGAGCACCAGAGGCACCAGCCCCCTCGGTGGAGGGCTGGGAAAAAAAAAAACACGAGTGCATTCCTGTGAATGCCGTGGTTACAAAGCCGAGTCCAGATCAAAACTATACCGAAGGGTATTTCAAAAGTTATCCTCCCCTTCTCCTGGAGGCGCCCTGAGACAGTGCAGCTTGCCCAAAGGTAGACAGGCTGGCTGTACTCAGGAGAGGCACAGTGGGGGAAATCAAACTCCCAACCTCAGGCTGCACAGCCAGAGGCCCAAACGAATGGGCTAGCTAACCAGGATGCCATGAAGAGCTGAAGAAATTGAGCCTCCTTGAGTCAGAAATCTCTGTCTGGGGACTGAGTTCATCTGCAGCCCTCAAGGCAGCTTGGCCTTGGCCTGCTGGAGGAATCCTGGTGTCCTTTTAAACCCTGCCCACCCTTATAGAGTTGTGGCCAGTGGCTTCATCAAAAGTCATTTGGGGTCATCCTGTATCTGTACGGACACATTTGCTCTTTAATGGGGGTACAATGGGGTTTTTACATATTAATTGCAGCCCTTTCAGGGGTGATCTTGAGAGAAGGAAAGCTCCTGATGCAAAAGATAGTGAGGGGGGGCAGAGAAACACACCTGTCTGAGTTACCACGGCCAGCACCTCAGCACCTAGGTAGGAGCGGGCCTGGAGGACCTGAGTCCCACAGAAGAGGGTGTGGCGCTTGTGCTCCTCAGGGGAGTAGACGGGGCTGGCTGCCGGGGCGCCTTTGGGCAGAGGGGTCTTCGTCAGTGGCACGCTCTCTCCTGGGGGGGGGGAAGGGGCAATTGAAAAAGAAAAGAAGAACAGATGGATGTTATTGACCTTTCTCTGCTATTCAAGATATGGGTAATACGATAAGAAATGACAACATGATGCGATCAAAGTTTTACTGTTCTGTTTTTTTTTAAGGTACAGAAAAAAAGGTATCAGGCCTGACAGCTGAGCTGAGATCAGTTCTTACTATATATACCCTCCTTCTCCTCAAAGGAAAATGGCGAAGCTTCCTGGGACTACAGGACAATTTCTCAGTGGCCGTCCGATGGAAATGAACTGTGGTCTCCTGTAATGTGTTGTTATACTATCACATGGCTTTTGATTTACAGAAGCCTTTTGAATGACTCCTTTCCAGCAATTTAGCAGCCACTGCTTAGCCATTACACACTCTACATGGTGGCTGAGGCTTTCTTCACTGACTGGATTGTAAGAGTCCAAACCTAAGTGCCACCCGATAAAAGCACACTGTAGCTTGACTGTTTCTGTTAAGGTAAGGCTAACCCTTCTCGCCACAAAGCCCTGGGGTTCAGTGGCTAGAGTATAAGAGTAGGACGCCAAAGACCCAGGACTGGTCCCTTCCTGCGAAGAAGCACACCTGGCCACCGTTGTTGACCTGACACCCTCTTGTGGCCTGACATACCTCTGAAAGTGGTTCTTGTAAATATTGTAAAGACTGGGGGGGGGGAGAGTGGGAAGAGAGCCACGCACAACATCTCCCAACTCAGTGAAGGGCCGGTGGTGGTATAAAATCCGACTGATTAACGGAGAAGAGGCAATAAACAGCCCATGTGTGGAACAGTTGTTGAACAAGAGGTCTCCCCGCCTCTCCCCTTCCGCGGACAGCCGTCTCTGTGGCCACTTCCCCCCCTTCATGGCTTCTCACCAGTAAGCATGCTTTCGTTGACCAGGCATTCACCGGAGATCAAGACGGCATCGCAAGGAACCAGCAACCCATCCACGGGCACCACAAAGCAGTCACCAGGCACAAGGTCTATGGAACTCACCGACACTTCCTCTGTAAGAAAAAAAATAATGGAAACAAGTCAGCTCTCCTTTTCTCCCGGGGCCCCAGCCTGAGGGGGGGGGGAGTGCTTCCTGCTCATCTTGTCCCTCTCCCCAGGTGGCCGTGGTCTAACTTCCGGAAAGAAAGGGAAGCCGGTGGCTGCCCACGCCCCGGCTCAGAGCCCTGCAGGAGTGATGCAGGAAGCAGTGCGCCCTGTCACAGGGCAAAGGGGAGGCCCCAATCCTCGTTGACTTGCTCCTCTCATAAGAGCCACCTGCAGGCAGGCACTCACTCACCCCCGGGAGCTCTGCAGATCCTCACACAGACAGACATCTTCACCATGTTCCTTAGAGTGACCGTTTGCTGTGAGAACCAAAAAGAAGGGTCAGGACCGCCATTTCCCTGCCCCGGGCAATGCAAGGGGAGTTGACCTCTGAGAGGTGGCAGGGGCAGGATCTCGACTCGGCCAACCAGACCTCTAAAGCGAAAGGGGGCGGGGTGTGTGTGTGTGCCCTCCGCACATCTCCTGAGGCTCTCCGTCCTCACCCCTCCCTTCACGTGACCCACCTTCCTTGTCTGGTAGAGAGAGATCCCTATGGAGAAGGCGGAGATGACCAAGATGCAACTGGCATAGGAGTAGTATTCTTCACACAACCACAGGATGATACTGAATATCTGGAAGATGTAGAATGGGTTCAAAATCTACAGAATCCGGGAGAGAAAGCAGAGGAAGAGGGCAAGTTTAGAAAGACTCCAGAGGCTGTGGAGGCCTTCCCACCTGTAGGGTCTTCCGTGAAGTGGTGGATCACGGGGCAGAGGTGGGAACGTGTGGGGAGGGCTTTGTTACTGCTGGGAAAGAGTCCCTCTCCCATCCAAAAAAACCCCCATCCTTCCTCACAGCGCACCTCATCCCTCAGCAGCTGGATGTAAGGCTTCACTGGGACATCAATTAAATTTGGTCCATAGAGCTTTCTCCTGGAAAAGGTGGAGAGCATGAGGAGGGTTAGGCTGGGGAGTGGAGAGAAGCACATACAGAGCAGATTTAGGACAGGGAGGGTGATAAGAAGGCCCCTCCCAAGCTCAGTTTTGGACGAAAGACCACCTTACTTCACGCTTCAAGACAATCCTAGCTTCATGGGCATGGGGGAGACAGGGTTCAAAGCAAACACTGCTAAATGAAAGGAATATGAAGAAAGCAAGGACTTTGGAAAACGGAAAAACACATGTGATTTTCAAGAGTTTCCTTGTTGTGCCTGAAAGGACGTGGAAATGCACACTTTCCAGAGCCAAGGTCCTCTGGAAATAACCTGTTCGTACCTCCTCCTTGTTTTCCTACAGCTCAGTAGTAATAGGAAAAGTCATGGCAAGGGGTGCACACAGAGGAACTGCAGCAAGAAAGTCTTGTGTCCCCTGATTTCATCACAAGAATTTATATAAAAAATGAGAACATTAGAAACCCTATCTTAAATTACCCTGTGAGTTGAGAAATCAATGAAATCCATATGTCTCTGATACCCAAACACTGCGGATGTTTACAAATATGCCGGGCTTCCTTAAGCTCCACAACAGGCTTAACTAACTTCCTTTATCCAGAAGGGTTATGCCTACTTACCGTGCAACCTGTTCTTCGATACTCAGCCCACAGTGCGAGAGGTGGATATCTGAACATGTCCAGTTATCATTTAACACACTGCAAAGTATGAATGAAAGATGAGTCACATTCTGCCTGTGACAACCACTGTAAAACAGCAATTCAATTTGTTCAAAAACCTCACCTACCACCAGCTGCACATAATTAAATTCACCAAACTTTGTGAATATTTCCAAACATAAGGGGGAGGGCACCTTTCTACTTAAAGGTGGAAAAATGAAGGACAGTGATTTTCAAAGAATCCAAAGAAGGAATCCTTATGGGGCACGCTCACCTGGCCTTGCAAAACACCTGCCATTTCTCAATCCAGATGTAGCGCAAACCTTCAAAGAGATAGTATCGAAGGATGTTTTTCTAAACAGAACAGAAGTGTCATTAGAAAGAATCTTCATGAACCTTGATACTGAAGAGCAGAAGGAAGTTACATAGATAAATCACATTCAAAAGGCTAAGAAGGGAGAGGGAAGGCTGCCCCAGTGAGTGAGAGAGAGAGAGAGAGAGAGAAGTTAGGAAAGAGAGTTAGCCCCGGACAATACAACTGGATGGGTTTCCCCTTCCATCAGCCGTACCTTGTAGAGTTCCAAGCAGAACTTGTCACAACACAAGATGTCACATGCAAACCTTGTACACACGTGGTGGATCTCTCCCCCCCCCCCACCGTCCAACTCCTCACAAGAGTGAAGAACATAAACTTTAATAAGCGGCCAGAAAGTGACTATGTTAAAATGCAACGGCTGATTGGGGCAATTTCTAACCACATTTGTCAGAGACGAAGGACACCCACTGCCTCCTGGTGGAGCCCAACAGTGTCTCGGGTTTCCTCGCCATCATCTGTCACTCCAACAGCAACGCTGCCTCTTCCGTCATCTCTTTGGTGCTCAAGGCTTCACAGGGAAGAGGCCAAAAGAAAAAAATTAAAACGTTTTACATGCGTAAAGCATTAAAACAATTAAGTTGCAAAGCAATCAGTCAACTCTCCACCCAAGCAAGTTTAGAAATGTCTGCCTGATGCTTTCTAAATGTGTGTTTTTTGGATATACACTCCTGTGTTTTTAGAATGTAATTTCAACATTCTTCTCATTCTTTTATTACACTTTTCACATGAGTGTATATTGGATAGAATTCCAAATTGAGAATTTCCATTTAAGTTTAGCTTTCATATATTTTTAAAGCATTCCAACCTATATCTTTTCTTATCCTTGTAAGAATGGTTTCTAGGTATTTAATCTCAAGACGGTTACATAGAAGCAATGTAGATACACAAACCTTCCAAAATTAGACAAACTGACATCGTCCGGAATCATGGAAACAATGAAAAGTCCTATACCTTCATGCCCGGATGAATCTAGATCTTTTTGGATCAAATTGCCTCATGTCATTCTGGATTTTATCCTTAACTGGAATACATGTGAGCTGTGATGAAATCAAGCTTCTGCTTGTTCCAAAGAGGTGTGTGAATTTCTGCAGGGCTCATGGGGAGCTGTTTGGTCAGACCTGACCTGACAGCAACCTGCCATGATTTTGACTTTTTTTGGTTCTACAGGGAGGGTATTAAAAGCTGGCCCTGTACCCATGACCTCTGGGAACTGGCTCTGTGCCTTACTCACCTGCCTTCCTCCATCTCCTCTGTTTGGACCCTGGCTGTGAAATACTGACCAAAGGGATCCTACGAAAGAACAGGAAGAAGCTGCCTGGAAGCGTGGTTCACATGGTTAAACAGAGAGAAGCAAAATCTTCCCACCCCCAGCTATCAACCTCCCTGCAGAAGCACAAATCTTTCCCCTCCCCTCCTCCCAGTGGGAACATTTCAGAGGAGGAATCCTAAATACACTCCCCGAGGGGAGGGCGGTTTGGAAATGCTGGAAGGCCTCAACTGACAACCCACAACACCACATGTTGGGTCATCACGAGACACAGTTGTTGGACTGCAGGCCCTTCACGGCTCTTATACAAGAGGCTTTTATCGACAGGAAGCAAACAAAGAAGGGACAGTTCTAATAGCATTACTGTGCTGTTTAAAGTACATTTTTGATTGGCTGTATGATGCTTTAGTTTATTCTAAATTTCCTCTGATAAATAAGGACCAGGACTGGTTACTTCCAGCTAGACCCTTCTCCGCACAGTCGATTGCCCCTTGTAAAAAGGTGACGTTTTGACTACACGTGTCCAACATTTGCCTTCACGCCCCTCCTGGTGCCAAAACTTCCCAAACATTTTCCCCTCCCTTAATTCCACGTACTCTGATCACCACCCAATCGGCCTTCCGAAGTGGGCAACGGCTGCATTTGGCCTGGACTTCGAACCGTGGCTTCCAGTGAAAGAGGACAAGCGGCAAGCCCACCATGAGCACCGAGAAGACATGGCAGAGGGCAACCTTCCACGGCCTCCTTTGGTAGCCGCACACGTCCTGGGAAGGGAAGGAAAAAAACGGAGCACTTTGACTCCTGCCTGGCAAAGAAAAAGCCGCTGTGCAGGAGAAGCCCCACTTCTGGGCCGCCACCCTTTCCCCCCCACCCTTCTCCCTGTCCCAGAAAGCCCAGAGAGAGGTGCCCTTTCCCTCAAACTCTGTACTTACCATACAGGATTTGGGTGGGTGTGGCTGGAAGGTCCTGTACATAGAGGGGCGGCCTGCTTGGAGGCGACGGCTACCTGACAACGTAAGAAGAACCACCTTCAGCCACTCCCTTATAGCCTCTCTCTCACCGTCAGGATCCCTCACCGGCTGGAGGGGAAGATTCAAAGACTCTTTGTGCTCTTTCCCTACAGAGGCCACCGACCTTCATTAACTTGAAGTCTGATGCAATCACAGATTAGAAGATGCTCTTTGAAATACAGTTAAAAAGAGGAATTAAGGTCCAGCAGAGTACTTTCATTAAAGGCATGTATGCTGTAAACTCATTTTGTTCTCAGAACTCTCAACAAAGGGGCAAAAAGGAGTTAGACCTGAAGCCTTCCCAGCAGATTCGCTCCGACTACAGACAGCTCCCCGTCCAGCTAAACTGCTCTGAAGCCTTCGTCCAAAAGAGCACCAACCAAGATTCCCTCTAAAGGTGTGTGCCTGTAACCAAAGAGTGGCACACACCGGGGTTTGTCTGGAGGCTGTCCCTCAGAGCTGCCAGGCCCCCTTTCCTGTCTTCTGCCGTTCCCCTCTTCCTCCTGTTACTCCTGGTTGTTGTCACTGCTAACGTGGTAGAAAATTTTAAAAGGGGGGTAAAGTTTATTCTGGGCCATTTCTCCTCTGGGTGATTTCCTCTTGCTGCTTCTCTGGATAGAAGACAAAGAGGTGGCAACGCAGCAGCACTCCCAGTGACACCTGGCGACGGATACCCACCACACCTCTTCTCCAAACACAGGCACGGGAAGGAGTTGGCAGGCGCTTGGGGTGTGGAACGGTGTTCACACCAGACCTGCTACAGGCCTCTCTCCCGGGCAGCTCATGCAGCTGAGCCAACGGACCCTCCTTGGCCATTCTGCCCTCAACGAGGCAGGTGGAGAGCGGCAGGTGCCTCAGTTATGTTTCTGGCCTGACAGCATGGCGGTGGCGGGGGAGACGCAGGTGGTCCATCATGGCCCAGAAATCAGCCAGATGATAACCTACATTCCCCCCCCCCCATGGCTGCAGACCAACCCAAGTGGGTGCTCATAAGCCAGAATTATGTTACAAAGAGGACCTCGTGCGCATACAAAGTGATTTTTGTTCCCCACTGATCAGGGAGAGCAACACCAAAGCCAGGTTTTGGGGAGAACTCAGGCAATTTCCTAAACTGAGGTCACCTTGTAACAGAATGGAACCAGCCTTATATTATTATTATGATTGTGTTTTGACAGTAGAAGGGTGGGGGGGCACAGAGACTCCTAAAGGACCAAGGCTGAATAAATTTTATTCACATTCTTGGGAGTGAAAACCTCATTGAAAAAAAAATTAAAAGAGCTGCCACAGGTTTCAACTGCCCAAGAACACTTCTTTCTGTAGGTGCCAGTCTCTCTAGTTCCTGGTTCTCAGGAAATGAAAAATGCTTGGTGAGTGTGTACTGAAATCTCCGAAGACTGAAATAAGGTCCCTCAGGTTTTATTGAAGGCCTTGCTAGTTGCTACTTCAAGTCAGAAGATATTATGGAAATCTGATTGACATAAACATGACAAACTGTATGCAGTGTTTGGGTAGAAGTGGCAGCCCATCTTTCAAGAAAACTCTGCATTCACTTCTCCCCCAGATTAAATAGATGTGTGCCAAAACCAACCAAGTTTGTTTTCCATACCAAATCCCCAAAACTCTGGAGCAACCTCTGCCAATTGTTCCCTTTTGCTGGTTCTGCAGCTTCAAGCCTTTCTTTAAAAAAAAAAAAACTGAAACCTGCTAGGATTCTCATCACAAGATACATTGCCCTGCTTTTGCTGAAGGCAGAAAATGCCCAGGCTTACGCAAGCCTAGGATTTATTTTCTTCCTCTCTTCTTTTTTTGCTGCTTGACCCTTCATGCCACCTAACCATAATAAGCCCAGAAGGTCAGAGGCCAAGACCCACAGAGGCCACCTCCCATTGGGCTTCAGAGGCCGGCTTTCCCCAGGCGAGTCTCCGGTGGGCTCCAAAATGATATCCAGAACAAGAGAGGGGGAGGGCAGAGCCCGGAGCCCCCCCCCCACTCCCAAGCAGGAGTAGCAGTCATAGGCATCGACGCAATAAACCCTCCAGACCCTGATCATCCTCATCACAGCAATACTTGCAGAAATGCAGAACGTAGTACGGAGCAGGTCGGCGGCGGCGGCGGAGGCTCCCCGAATCCCCGGCGGGGGGGGCGCGGCGGGTCTGCTCTGGCGAGGCTTTTCGAGGGACTTCCAGCCCCTGCCCTACTTACTGCCAG